TCAGCTCATGATCTCACGGTTCATGGGATTGAGCCCCACGTCCGGCTCCTTGCTGTGTGAGCCTGTCTCTCCCCCTCTCCCTCCCTCTCTCTCCCTCTCTCTCTCTCTCTCTCTCTCTCTGTCCCTGCTCTGCTCGCTCTTTCTCTCTCTAAAAAGAGGGTGAAAGAACACAGTCAGTACATAAGACGAGAGGTGGGAAGGCCCTTCCAGAAGGCCTGAGATGTGGCCTGTCCGGGGTAATCAGTCCCATGTCTCTGTGCCAGAGCGGGCGCCATGTGCTGAGCACGCAAAACAGGAAGAAGACAGGTGAGAAATCACTTTTGCCACTTAATATGCATCAGGCTTTCTTTCCAGCTTCATTTTGCTTCGGGCAGTAGGACGAGCTGGGCCTCCCTGAGCCCAGACGGTGGGCAAGGGGCCTAGGCGCACGGAAGGACAGGGGAGAGGCCGTCTGAGATGTGCCTGCCCGTTGGCAAATGACAGTGTCCCACACGCCGGCAGGAGACAGCCTGTGCGTCCACTTCTAGCACCCCAAACACAAGCAGCATTTGCTGCCCGACCCTGGGGCCCGGCCGGCCGCCCCCCGCCCCCCCCCCCCGCCACGTAGTGAGCAGCCTGCACAGGAGCAGCCGTGGGTCCCCACGAGATGCTCAGAGGCTGGAGAGTTAGGAGCCCAGACTCAGGTGTGCGGGGTGAGGCTCCGCGGCCCCGTCACGACCGAGGGAGGCGGGTCAACTCTGTTGTAGGGAAGCCCCGTCTATGGAGAGGCTGGTGTGGTCTGCCTCCCACAAGAAGCCAGCCAGGATTGCCGAGCCAGGGTCCATCAGGCATGTGAGCGTCGCAGACCCCACAGAGCAGGACAACCTCCGCGTCCAGGGGGCTCCTCCCTGGAGGAGGAACGGAGAAAGTCCGCTGTGGGCTCACCCCCCACGAGGCGGGGTCAGTGGGAGGATGCTTCTCGCCAGGGCCCAGGGTGGACCGTGAGGAATCTGGGGGACCCCGGGCCCTGGCAAATGCTTTCCTCCCCCCACACTGTGGTTGAGAGCGCCCCGCGCCCTGGAAGACCCAACAGAGCAGCACCCGTACCCGATTCGGGCCCTTTAGCCCGCGGCTCGTGGCCACCCTGCAGTGAGGGAGGCTTCCCCGAGCTCGGCCCAGACAGACCACCTGCCTCCAGGCCCCCAGGCACCTGCCAGCTGCCTGGAAGGGGCCGGTCCTGGGCCAGGACTGCAGGTGAGGGAAGGGGAGACCCAAGGGGTGATTCTAGGGGCGTTGGAAGCGCAGGGAACTTGGGGTTTTTCCAGACCCTGGGCGATGCTGCTGGTGGGCCCGGGCAGAGGCTGGAGAGGTCTCTCGGGCAGGTGAGAGCCCGCGGAGCGGCTGTGTGAGACCCAGCAAGGGGCCTGATTTCTCCTGGCTTCTTCCCTGACGTGACCGAAGGGTGTGTGTCCGGGCCCCTCGAGGCCCCCGTCTGTCCAACACTGGACAGCAGCCACCCCGTGTCCCATACGGAGGGGCCCCCCTGCACCAGCCCCTTGGCAACCTTTTGGGGTTTTTCCACCCGGAAAAGTAGGGTCTGTGTGTGTTTTCATCCTCCGCCTCGCTCGGCAGGGGGCCGTTGTCACAGCTCAGCTTGGAGCAGCTGTGCTGCTGGAGTTGAATTCCGGCCTCTCCCCCCCAGCGCGGGCACAGCTGTGTCTCTGTGGCAGATGTCGGCCCCGGGCCACACGCCATGTCCACACCGAACCCTGCATTTGTATCTGGCACCCTGTTGCCCTGGGAGCTGCACACGCGGGAAGTGTGTGGCAGGAGGTGCATGGTGGGAAGGGGCAGAGGCGTTGCTTTAAGCGGATTGGGAATGTAGCCTCTGCGTTTCTGTGTTTCCCAGAGCGGCACCGGCTGGCCCGGGCCCCCTTCACTGAGGCCCCTAAAATGCATGCAAGGTGTCAGTGTCGACGTGGTGGAGAAGCTTCGATAAAACTACGATCACGCCTGAACTTCCTCTTCCACGGGACCAGAAACGCTTGAGGGTTTCCCCTGGGAGGGAGACGGGCCCTCCAGCTCCTTGTGAAGGTTTGCAAGGTTCCTTCACTCTGACTGTGGACACTCATCACGAGCAGTGCCGCGGGCTGTGGGAGAGGAGCCAGGGGCCGTGGGAGGGGAGCCGCAGGCCGTGGGAGGGGAGGGGGACAGAGGAGAAGCAAGAGCAGGTGGGGCTCCTGTGTCTTTTCACCCGTCTCCCACTCCCCCTCCTCGGCCCACAGGAGACGAGCTCTCGTGAATAGTGTGCCTTGCAGACGTTTGGTTGGTAGAGATCTTACTGCTAAGCAGGAAGGAGCCGTGACCCTGTGTCATACAGCAGGGCACAGAGCGCTGACACAGGATGGAGCGATGACAAGGGGACAGATCAGTGATGCAGGGCACAGGGCGGTGACAAGGAGACAGAGCGGTGACAAGGGGACAGAGTGTTGACACAGGGCACAGAGCGGTGACACAGGACACAGAGTGGTGACATGGGACAAAGTGATACAGGGGACAGAGCAGTGACAGGACATGGGGCAGTGACAAGGGGACAGGGATTACGGGCCGGGCCTGACTGAGTCCCAGCACACACTCGGGACCCCAAGGCCCACAGAAGCCCCGAGTGGACCTAATATTTTCTGAGTTGTAGGAGACGTTGAGGAAACCCGTGTCCAGGGGTCTGTTCCCGCCGCCCGCGGGCTTTCCTGGGCTCGTTTTGTGTTGTGTGGACGCGGCAGCGGCCGGTGTCAGAGTCACAACCACGAGCGGAGTTTTGCCTGTGTGGGGCCTCCGGTGAGGGGTGCCATCTGTCTGTGTAGATCTGTCTGTCCCTCCGGGAGGGGTGCAGGGGAGGGGGCCGCGGACTGTCCAGGCTCCGAGAGGGGCTGGGGGTGGGCGCCCCCCAAGCCCCGAGGGCTCCCACGTTGTTACTGGAAAGCCGCTTGCCGGGATCATGATTATGGTCTCCGTCGTCGTCTCTTGCAAGTGAAAGACCACCCCACCCTGGCTGCCAGCAGGACATGAGGTGGGCGGTCCCCTCCCAGCAAAGCCGATGGTGGGCCAGGCTCAGTCAGTAGAAACACCACGAGATGTGCAGATAAACGTCCCCACTTCGTGGCTCGTGTGTCTCACCAGCCGCAGCGGCAGCCACGGGATCAGTCTCTGCAGTGGGTGGTTTGCATGTGGCATCGAGAAGATGCGGCCTTGACATGCGCGTGTGGGGTCCTGGCTGCACGGGGTGGCAGGGATAGTCGGGGCTGTAGCACACCTTCGTGTTCTGTGGTCCCACCCCCACAAGGCCCCGAAGTTAGAGAGAACGTCCCCCAGGGCACGGAAGTTAGGGAGAGCGTCCCCCAGGGCACGGAAGTTAGGGACGATGTCCCCGAGTGTTCGGATGGCGAAACCCCAGAAGGGAAACAGCCCCGCACTCCGGCTCATCAGCACAGAGTGGGGGTCGCGTGCAGATCTGGGGGCATCCGAGCCCTGCCCCTCTGTTCCGCACGGCCCCCCCAATTCCCTCCTAGATGATTGATCTGTCCAGCGTCCAGTTCGACATTCTCAGCAGAATATGGGGCCGTTTGCCACAGGGTCGATGCCACAGTGTGACCGGTCCTTTGTCCTTCAGGGCAAGTGAGGGGGTGCTGCTGAGACGCATTCGTTCGCTGGGCCTTGGAAACGTTCCGGTAGTTTCCAGATCCCTGTGGCTCTGGGACTGACGCGGAGCCTGTGCTAGAGGAGCCTCTCTGTCCTGTGTGCCCCTGAGCACAGAAAGGGCCTTCTGCACTGCAGGACTGAGGGGGCTCTGGGGTGGTGGAGGGGGACCCAGGCAGCTGCCTGAGTGGGCAGAGGTCACCGTCAGACACGGA